AAGTTCACTTAAAAAAATCTTACGCTCCTATTTTTCAGGGCAGAGCCAGCGAGACTCATGGTGCAGTATGATTATCATTAGCATGGGGCATGTTGGGTGTGGGGTGAATATCCCACATGCCATCCAGATAGACTGAAACAGACTGACATCTCGGACTCAAAAGGAAAACTTACCTATTCCAGGGCACACTCCTTGCAGGTCAGATCAACTAATGGCTGGCACTCCTGCTGGAGGAGAAACTGCTCCGCCCCACATCGAAAATTCTGTCCCACATGCAGCATGTTTGTCCAGGATCTGTGGCACAGGTGATTTCAGGCAGACTTTATCACCCTGTAAAGATGGTATCACTACTTCCATTTTACTGATGAAGTAACTGAGGCTAGTGGAGATTAAGTAACTTGCCCAAAGTCAAATGACTGGAAAGTGAATATAAATCGTTGTGATTCCCAAGCCCATCTCCTGATATTGGCTACCTTTTAACCAAACCTCCTGGGTACACAGCTAAATCTCACCTCCTAGTCTCTTTGGCAGTTAGATGTGACCATGTGACAAAATCCTGGCCAATGGTTTATGGATGCCACTTCTAGCTTTGGCCTGTGGAAACTGTCCATACGTAATACTCCATATTTTCTCCCTGGCTGTGTGATGGCTAGACACCAATGTCCAAGACCTAGAAAGTCACATGTTGAGGAGAGCAGAGGCTCTGTCCGCCTGGGTCCTTGACTCGTGGAGCTGAGCACCTTCTCTGGCCATCAAATTCTCTTCACTCAAAGACTGTTGAACTTGATATGAGTGGGAAATGATTACTAGTATCATTACCTTAATTAAATCTCATCACAAGTAAAAGACAGAAGCAGGATATGAACCCACAGAGCTTGCTTCAAAAACAGAAAGCTACCCAAGGAGGTGCTAATTCAGACATTTTCTCTCTACTAGTCTTTACACCATGAAAACAAACCCAGTTATATTATGCCAAGCTGGGTTTTCACAATTAATACTGATTTTTCAAGATGGTAATAACCAAGCAGAAGGGTCTGTCATTGGCGTACATGTGCAAGACTTCCTCGGGACTGAAGCTCCAGGCTTAGACTCTCTGCAACTTGTCTTACTGGCATTGAAAACTCTTCTTTGCCTGTCCTCACCTACCTCAGTGAACTTAGAAGCCACTGTTTGCCAACAAACAAAATCTCCCACGTTTGTTTTAATAGTCTCCTCTCTCATCTGGTTCTTCTTAATATTGTCTGTGTGTGTTCTACACCCATGCTCATGCTGTGTTCCTGACCCCACCCTCCTGGTACTCTGAGACACAACTCAAATTCCCTCTCCTCAGAGACTCTTTTTCCTGACCCCAGTGATGTGTCATTTTTAAAAAAAATATTTAAGAGATGCATTGAACATTTTGACTTTTGATGCTGTTCTGCTTTATTTTATTCTTAATTGTTTTTTATGTAAAGCTTTTTCTTCCCTTTAAGATTTGTATGTTTTCAAGGACACTGACTCAATATGTACAAGTTGGCAACCAATGAAACAATTGATGTGGTATCTTGCAAATAGAAGATGCTCAATAATTTGTGTTTGAATGATTCAAAAAATGAAAGTAATAGTGGTTTCTTTTGTTTCTTCCACCGTGCCCAGAATGGTTCTCAATACCATTTCCCCCCGACAGTACAATTTTTTTTTTAACAATTGTTGGCTGAATTCTATCTTCAGCATTTAGGGCCTTCCCTGAGGCGTTTTTGGGTATGAGTTTGAAATATGGTCCAAATCAGTCTAAAGTGACCTCCAAGGTCCTATGATAGGGGTTCTCAAACTTCAGCATTCTGAGTGCTACTCCAAGAGTGTTTATTCATTATATGAAGGATGGGCCCCAGAATTTATATTTCTAACAGCTAATGCTGATGCTGCTGGTCTAGTAATCACCCTTTGAGAACCACTGCTCTACTCCCATTACAATGATACCATTGACTACTGCTCCCTCTCTTTCTTACTCTACTCCAGCTATACTGACTTCCTTGTAGTTCCTTAAACATAGCAGGTGCTCCCCCGCTCCAGGGCTTTTGTACTTACTGCTCCCCTAGATTCTCATGTACTTGGTCCCTCACCTCAGGTCATTTCTCATATATCACCTTCTCCAACCACCTGGTTTAAATTTTTTTTTAATTTTTATTTATTTATGATAGTCAGAGAGAGAGAGAGAGAGAGAGAGAGAGAGGCGCAGAGACATAGGCAGAGGGAGAAGCAGGCTCCATGCACCGGTAGCCCGATGTGGGATTCGATCCTGGGTCTCCAGGATCGCGCCCTGGGCCAAAGGCAGGTGCCAAACCGCTGCGCCACCCAGGGATCCCTAACCACCTGGTTTAAAATGGCAACACTCCTGCTCACCTCACAAACATATGTTCGCACATACACATACTCCCTTATCATATTCCTTTCCTATAATGTTTTTCTCCATAGTATTTATCACCATCAGCACATATGTTGTGCTTCTTATTTACTATCTACCTCTCCGCCCACCCACACCAGGATATAGGATTCCTGAAGGCAGGAATTCTCATCCGTTTTGTTCATATTTGTATCCCAGAGGTTAGAACAGGGTTTGGCACACAGTAAGCACTCAAAAAGTGTTTCAGTTAATGTTTTAACTGGAGGACAGTAGGGACCATAGCCCTACCTATTTTTAGACCATAAACCATAAAGAAAGCTCACCTGCTGCTGAAACACCATAGGAATGATTAACTGGGCATTCAGCCTGTCCTGGCTGGTTGATAGCCAGAGTTGAAGGAGCAGAAAAAGATGTTATTAAACCTCCAAGGGGCTCAGGACAGGTCATTGCTCTGTCCTCAGTTTTTGCATCTACAAGATGATGTGGTTGAACCAAATACCTGCAATATTGTTCCCAGCTCTAAAACTCTCTTTCTGTCTTTAATCTTCCTGTACATCTACATGTCACACAAAGGAAAGGTTTAGGTCACTAGGACCAGTGAGAAGCTCCTTTTCATCCTGTGGTGTTATCAACAAATTCATGAGAACCAAGGACACAAAATTCTACTGAAAATCTCCTCCCAATCAAGGCTACAAACCCACAGCTGTGCTATCCTTTTGGTTTTATGTAGCGCAAATTTATTTGTTCTGAGTCTTAACTGGTGCCAAACCCAATATTACTATATACATTTGTGTTGCCTCAGAGGTCAACCTGTCCCAGGGCTTCTCAAACCAGTTCAGACAGAGGAACATCTTAGAAATCTTTCCTATGTTTGCTACTCTTGATGTATGGAAATTTTATTATATATATAATATATTTTATATTTATTAATATATATTCATATATTTAATATTTAAAATAAATAAATATTTATGTATAAAACATATATAAAATATAAATATAATAAATTATATGTATAATACACAAAATTTATTTTATTTTTTTTTTAAATTTTTTTTTTATTTATTTATGATAGTCACAGAGAGAGGCAGAGACACAGGCAGAGGGAGAAGCAGGCTCCATGCACCGGAAGTTCGATGTGGGATTCGATCCCGGGTCTCCAGGATCGCGCCCTGGGCCAAAGGCAGGCGCCAAACCACTGCGCCACCCAGGGATCCCTAATACACAAAATTTAGAGCCAAATCATAAACCATCCTATATATATATAGATTCCAGTAGAGACAAATGGTAGTGGATTTTTAAAGTTCATGACTAAAAAATTTTAAGTTGTAAAAATCTGATCTTATCATTATTTGATTTTCTTTTCTGCAAACTGAGAAGCACTGGCACCTGCATTTTAGAGCCTGGGATAGAAGGTTAGCATAGAGTGGTTAGGAGCACAGGCTCTACATCTATTAGTTGCAAGACGGTGGGTGGGTTATTTAACCTCTCTGTGCTTCAGTTCCCTCCACTATAAAATGGAGATGATGATGATGATAGCACCTAACTCCTATGGTTATTGAGAAATCCAAACAAGGGAATTTCAAGAAATTCAAATCAAGAAATACAAACTAAAACTCTCCAGCTGAACCAGGCACCCAATAAGACTTGGCCGATGTTGGCTATTATTATTATTTTTATTTTTAAGACTTTATTTACTTGTTCATGAGAGACACAGAGAGAAGCAGAGACATAGGCAGAGGGAGAAGCAGGCTCCAAGCAGGAGCTCGATGTGGGACTCAAACCTGGGACCCTGGGATCACACCCTGAGCCAAAGGCAGAGGCTCAGCCACAGAGCCACCCAGGCCGTCCTGATGTTGGCTATTATTATTCATCACTGCAGGCCAGAGTGAGGTGCCCTTAGGAAGGGGTCAGCTCAGCCAGGGAGAGATTAAAAAAATAAGTGCATTTGAGAAAATGGAAGAATTAACAAGGGAGAGGAACAGATAACGGAGAGCAGAAAGCCACTGGAGAAGTTATATGTGTTTATTTCACTTGGATTTCTGTTCATTTAAGCCTTTTAAAAGATCATTTCTCTCTCTACTTACACAAGGCTTCCTCTGGTGGGCAGAGCCTGAGGTCATTGGCTGTGGAGGCCAGAGTGCAAGGGTCAGGTGAGTATTCAGTTTTGAGCAAAAGGCTGTTTCAGGTGTTGTTCCAAGTTATCTATCTCCATGCAACCCTGGGCCTGGGGCAGGAACACCGGGGGCCTGCAATGTAAGGATTTCCCCAAAGTAGTCTTTCAAATCAACGGGAAAAGTTTTGAGTTTTTTTTTTGCTTTTGGTCTTGTTATGTTTTAAAGTAACTTCCTAAGACTAAGTCTATGGAAAGAAGAGCTGGATGTGGCCAGGATCGACACTCTCATAGGCTGGGGGAGGAAGGGACGCCAGGGTCTGTGTCTTCTTTCAAGGGAATCTGCATTTTCCGAAGCCTGTTGGCGCCCTCACGCGGCTTCCCAGGCATACTTTGGGCTTGGGGTTATTGTTTCCAGTGTGTTCAACCTTTCCTCAGATGTCACTGAACTGTGCTTGGCTGGCCTTTGGGGCATTGACCTGTCAGCAAATAGATAATGTTTTCAAAAAAGCTTGAATTCTGTTCAGCGTTTTATAAGGATGAAAACTGAAGTGGGAAAAGGTTGTAAAACCCTTTGACTCTCCATGGTGGAGTGGCTCGTTTCTCCAGCTGCCTCAAGTTCATGTTCACAGGTAAGTGACTTCTACCCTCTACAGCGTTTGAGGACTACGTTCTGCAAGTCCACGTCCTCCAGGTTCTACTCGGTGGGGTGTTGTGTTTTTGATCCACTAAAGGCTGTCCTCTTGTCATGCGATAAACAATACTATGATGCTTCCATAGGAGCTTGCTGAGTACATCGATGATGTCACAATGTGATAGGCAATACAGATGGCTCTTGGTCCCTGTCTCATTTATAGCAATACTACTTTATGCATCAATTCTCTCGAGAATGTGCGAGTGGGGGTGGTATATGGGGTGTGTGGTGCAAATGGGTGAATGGATTGAATAATCTGCCCAAAATAAAAATACTAGTGAGTGTTTAAATCTTGGTTGTATGAAAGCGCAATTCTGTTTGCACAGAAAACAAATTCCTCTCCCAAAAGCTGGTGCTGGCTTAATATAGGACTATGCCGACTTGATCTTTTCTCCCACACCATGCTCATTTCCTCATTCTCCCAGTTTTCAATAATTTAGATACTAAAGAATATGGGCTCTGCATGCCTGGCTGGGGGGTGGGGAGTTGGTTTCTAGAATCTTAATTTCCCTCTTGTAGGTTTCCCTAGCTAGTAGAAATGCTGCTGCTGATTTGAACAGATCAGTCAAATATCATTCACATTGAAGACTGGGAATAGAGTGTGGTATTTCCAAGTGTTTTGAGAGAAGAATAGCTTGCTAGACATATTAGAAATGACATGGACTGTACCCAAAATTCTTAATATTGGGATCTAACAATGGTTATTATACTTGTGAGGTGTTAACTTATTTACAAGCTTTTGTTTAATAGAAGTTGTTTCTGTGTGTGCCCCCATCCCCCACCTCAGCCCCACACATCCCTCACCCCTGTAGACTTGGGTACCCTCCTCCTCTGCTCTGTAACTCTCTGCCATTATCTCTGGAGCCTCTGTTTCCCTGCCTGGGAGTTCCTGTTTACATGCCCTGCCCCCTACTTGATTGTAAGGCCCTTGAATAACATGTGTGTCCTTCTACTAAGGGTAATGGTGACAAATATTTGCTATGGATGTTGCAAATAGGTTAGGAAGTCACGTAGGAAAAAAACCCTGCTCACTCAGTGGTTTTAAAAGACACTGAAATTGAAAAAAAAAAAAAAAAAAGAAGGAGAAAAAAAGCCCAGGTTCCACTGCAAGAATCAAGGGTCAGAGTTGTGTGTTGCTTTGCACAGATGGGAGAACTATGGGCTGGAGATCAAGAAAAGCTGGGAGTAATGCTGACGTTAGACTTTCTTGTTTGAGTGCAATTCTTCAGTCTTCCATTTCATTTCTTTCCCTTGTCCGTCAGCTGCAGTCCTCGAGACTAAAGGGGCCTCCTTTTTATCCTATCCTATCTTCCACTTTGTTGGAAGGCATAACCCGCTTACCTGCAAGACAGTATTTTCCTATTTTTCTGCTTCTTAGCATAAACTAATATTTCTTTCCTCCTTTTAATGATCCTTGGGAGAAACAAATCATTTGCTGGGTTTAATAATATCAAAAGTGTGCTATCTACATTTCTGCATGTCAGTGTGAAAGACATTTAAAGAGCTTTAAAAAAAATCAGAATTTGTGGCTTAGAAGGTAACTTTCAAATTCAAGGGAACTAGGAGCAGTTCTACTTTTCTGAGAAGCCAAGGAAGGGGAGTATGTGGTGCTGGTGGCCTTGAAAACTTTTATAAAAGGAGAAACCTCACAAGAGGAAAGCCAAGGAGAATATTCACCGTGTGATGTGGGGTGGGGTGAAGGCCACTCTACTCCTGAGCCTGGCCTAGTACTCCTCGCCGTCCCTCCAGCTCCTCAATGGCCATTAGCACATTTAGATTCTCCTTATTATCTTGGCCTGGATGTAGAAAAACCTCAGCCTCTTCCTCCTGAGTCCAGTCAAAGCAAGACCAACATGTTTCAAAGATAGTAACTGGGGGGAAATGAAATGGAAAGCAGAACAAATCTCCCCAGAGACAACTGAAAACCTGGTACATGATATAATAGAGAAGGCATCTCCTAAAGTGACAAGAGCCTGGGCACCAATGGCTTGGCTCTGGGGCACCAGAAACCTATTTCTTTGGGTCACTTCCGGCCTATCTGCCCGAGAGTGAGGTGAACTGTCGGGTCTGTGCTCTGCTAAACGAGGGTGCCTGCTTGCCTGGCCTGGAAGAATTTTTGTCCCTCCCAGCCAGATTTCCTAGTCCCTGTGCATGTGGGCTCTCAAGTTCCAAGCCTTATCAGAGTGTTGGTGTTTTTTTTAAGTGTAAAAATGATCCTATCTTTATCTTGCCTAAAACTCTTTATTAGTTTCCTTGCCACTGGGATAAGGTCCCAAGTCCTCACTGTTAGAGATGAGGCCCCGAGGAATCCAGCAGCCACATCCTTCAGAGATGTGCATCCACTTTCCCTCACGCTCACTGGACATTCTTCTGTCCTAAACCTACGTGCTCTCTCTCGGGTCTGGGCCTTTTCATGTACTCCTCCCTGCCTGGGAAGCTGTTCTCTCTCCTGTTTCCTTGGCTAATTTATCACCCTCATCTCCTATGAGGAGATATCCCAGGATGAAAATGCTCTAGCTCCAAAGTCTCCTCCAGTTGCCCAGACAAGGGCAGGGCCTCCGCTTGAGGCTCGTGGAGCTACCCATGCTTCCCTTTCCCTCACAGTCACCACGCTTGTCCTTTCTCATGTAGCAGCTGTCTTCCCTGCCGCACTGTAAGTTCCATGAGGACAGGGCACGTTAGAGGGCTGGTGCCTCCATATGGTTTTAGGTTGGGTAAGTCAGGTTCTCCAATATTTCTCCCCAGGCACCAGAACTGTCTGGAACTGACCTCATAATACAGGAATCGGCAAACATTTCTGCAGAAAGCTACACAGTAAATTTTTTTAAATTTTATTTATTTATTCATGAGAGATGCACAGAGAGAGACAGAGACAGAGACAGAGACACAGGCAGAGGGAAAAGCAGGCTCCATGCAGGGAGCCCGACGTGGGACTCGATTCTGGGTCTCCAGGATCACACCCCGGGCTGAAGGCAGGCGCTAAACCGGTGCGCCATCCCGACTGCCCTAGAAAGTAAATGTTTTAAGCATTGGTGGGGGGTGGGGGATGTAAGTTTATCTTTGTCACAACTACTCAACTCTGCCATTGTAGCACAAGAACAGCCAAAGACAATATGAAAACTAATGGACATGATGGTGTTCCAATAAAGCTTTATTTACAAAAACAGGCAGTAGGCCAATGCTCCTATTATAGTTGTATCTTCAGCCTGGAAGGATTCCAGCCTCTGAGAAAATTATTCTTCCTGATGTGTTTCTTTTCTCTCCTCTTTTCCTTCCTTCTTTCCTTTCTTTCCTCTCCTTTTCTTCCTTCCTTCCTTCCTTCCTTCCTTCCTTCCTTCCTTCCTTCCTTCCTTCCTTCCTTCTTCTTCCTGTTTTCTTTTTCCGTTCTCCTGCAGCATCAATAGCCAGACTTGTGTCTTGAAGTTACACTTAGTAGCCTTGATGTATTGGCCCATGGTGAGCACTGACATTTTGTATTCATTGGATTTTTGGTTTAACCCTGACATGGTTTATAGAACTCTATCTCTACCAGTTTTGACAGCCTCAGGCACCCCATCCCCCATAGCACTTCTTATTTATCCCTCTTTCTGAGATTTGTCAATGTCCTCAGTTCTCTCAGGTGATCCATCCAGGATCTCCTCCCCATCAGTGGTCTTCCAGAATATTGTTGCTACTGTTCTAAAGTAGAAATATCTGAGATGTCTCTACCAGGAAAGGTCAGGAGACTGTCCTCTATGTTGATAAGATTAAACATTTAATCAAAGAAAAGAAAACTTCAACCCTGAATAGTTAAACAGAAGCGCAGATTGTCTGCACATAGACCACATGCCATTTAGTAGAGAGGGACAGTGATGCTGGTGAGGACACGTAAGAATTCTTGGGGTTTCCACAATTAGGTGGCCAAAGTCTGCCAGCCAGTGCTTAGAAATCTTGATTTCTGACTTTCAACTAGACTTTCTGAGTTTATTGGAAGACCATCCTCCTGGAAGACTTGAAAATTCTCAATCTGTTTTCAAAGAGATTTTTTTAGAGATTAAAATTATTCAATTTATGAAAAGACAGAGTGAAAAGGAGATAGCATAGTACCTTATTTTCAATTCTGAGTTCTTTTGTGTTGGTTAAAGTGAAATTTTGTTATGGTAAATTGTTAGGAAACCTTAATTAAAGGTTCCTGCAATGTGTGATACCCAAGAACCCTTCACACACTTTAGGAAGCTCAAGAACAAAATTGTTAGCTTAGGGTACTATAGATAACAGCTGAGAGAGTAGAATTAGATGACATTACATCTGCTGATTAGGGTGGGGAAATAATGTGTCAAAATACCAGAGCATGCTTAAATCATGGAATGTGCCAGGTGAGGAGACACACTCTCATAACCCTGTGAAACAAACCTGTTTATTACTGACAACTAGATTCTCACTACGTTTCCAGGGTTTCAGAAACTATCAGAGATATTCTCCAGCATCTGCTATGTTTCCCAGGATCTCACTTAATTAAAAAGTAACTAACCAGTAAAGAAAACATGGTCTACAGATATACCAGAATTTAATTCTATGCTTATAATGATATGAGGCAATTCATCTAACATCTGATTCTGGAAACATTGCCTTTCCTGAAAAAATATCACAAGCAAGGCTTTTGTTTATTTGTCCTAGAAATTTTGGTATCTCATTGCACTTTCCCAGACTTAGCATTATAAAATTGCCTCTGCCTTTGTGGATGCATGCAAGTCATCAACTTTTTCAACACAGTGGCCTTCAGAATTCATCACTGCCATTTCTGACCTGGGCAGAGATAAGGCAACTAGGTTCAATTTCTGACTGAGCAACCAATCAAAGGGCCAAGAACCAGCAGCAATGATGTCCCAGGCCAGGAAAGGATGGATGTCCCAGCTAAAGTAGAAGAGCAAATTCATCCTCTTCTGGCCTTCAAAAAAT